GCCACAAAAATAATTAACAAGAGGAATAACTACTAACTACTAGTATCAAAGAATTGATTTGTAGTAATATTTTCAAAAATTCTATTTTAAAATTTTACCCTTGCCACCTATGAACCTTAGCATACTTATTACATAAAATTATGCAATTCTTATTTTCAGTGAAGGTTGGAATGACTTTTGTAAAGTTTGACTATCTACTATATCTCCTGAGATTTCCATGTTACAGTATGCAAATTGCACATTGCAATCTTTAGCAGCAAATGAATGAAAACAGTTTTGATTCTATCATGATCTTCTGTGGATATCCTGGTAAAAACAGGAATTTCGTTTTTTTATACATTGATTTATTAGGTAACAAAGATGTGTGAATTTTGCTTCATTGAAGGTAAGAGTTATCATTGTGTATGTGTAAATATTCATGTTAAGATTCAACTGCAATGACAACATAATACTAGTAAGCCGATTGAGCACGTCAGCAGATCAGAATGTACTGCGCCTGCACAAAGCCAGGATTTCTCACTTTTTGCTGGATGTTTGGTCAATGTTGCATTAAAATTTTGCATGTTGCAGATGACATCTTTTCTGACACAACATTTGAAAACCTATAGATGGGATGCCATCCATAAATACGAGAATACGACTTTCAATGATATATTCTGCCAAAGTGCTATGCATAATATATTAGTAGTTTTATGCAGGCGCAGTATGTTCTTCTGACATACCAGCTGATTGCTGTGTAATACCTGAAGCAGTAGTCCTTGTAGCATTTGTACTGTGGACCATGACAAGGGAACAGAGCTTTGTCCATCAATAAATTTTTCTAGTGTGTGCTTTGAATTGTTTTTTTCCTTCTTTTACCTTCATCTAAGGAAAACTACTTGGTAACAAACTGTGCAGTTTTCTACCCCAGTGTTCCAGTGCCAGACCCCTGTTTCATTTTGTTGTAGTTCTCCACCTCTACTCCCTCCCATGTCTTGTTGTTCAGAGGTTTGAAGTACCTAGAAACAATTCAAGATGTTAACATCATACATTCATTTTACTGAGTGAGATAAGTCATATCGTCAAGTGAGAAATTCCAATAAACTTTTGATCAAAAGTTAGAATGATAAAGAATCATCATAAAACAAGATTCTACCTCTCACAGATGTATTCCAGTGTCTCCTTTTCATCAGAAGTCATTTCTTCATACACAGTTCTCACATTTCTGTCTAGGTTAGCTTGGCTAGGAAAAAATGGATGCAGAAATAAACTACTGTGGTATAGACACTGCCAGACAAGTATGCCATGGTATCAAGTCATGAAGTGTTGTTACATTGAGTAGTATATAATACTGGTCACTGCATAGATGCAGAATCAGGGAGACATTCACATAAGCTCCTTGTATTAACCTTCTCCCTGCTGCTTAACCCCAAAACAATACAAATTTTGTGTCAAATGGCTACCTTTACAGGTTGAGGTTGACCACTAAAATCCAAAACCCGGGTATAGCTACTTAGGCTTCATGATGATTTATACCTACTCACCTGGCAGTACTGACCAGTGTAGTGGGGACTCCTTGCTGATTCAAGGTGAAGTGCATTGCAAGTCTGGAAATGTCAGCACCTTTACTCTAAAAGTAAAAGGGGATCAAAATTCAAACTGAATTAGGATTTAAACCAAGCTTTTAAACAAGGCAGCAACAAATTTGGCTCTGCTAACATTGGTACACTCTTCATTGTACAAGAAAGTCCCAAAAAACTTGAAAACAAATAACAGCTGATGAGCTCATCAAATCAAAATCTACAACTTCAATCTTTTTCTCATGGCTCCTTATCAAAATCTATCAGATACTTAGTACCGGTACTTTAAACAATTCAGTAGTATTCTTTTTTAAGTCTGATGATTAACTCTATGGGTACCTAATAGTAATTCGTATATAAACTAGACCTATTTCAGCTGCCAAATCTTCTACATGTATGAGGGCCTGCATGCCCTTTTTCGTTAACCGTTATGGGCTATTTTAATTCACCGTTAATCGTTGCCGGCCTGCTCTAATTCAACGTTAAGCGTTATCAGTATATTCATCGTGAAGCGTTATTGGTCGTTTTAATTCAACGTAAAACGTTATTTGTCATCCTAAATTCAGCGTTAAACGTTAATGAATAATTCTTCGTTACGCCTAATTTTGCCTTTCAAAGTGCAAGAAAATGCGTCATTGAAGGTTCAAAAACACAAAATTTCCCGGGGAAGGAATACCCCCGGACCCCCCTTCATTGCTCGCGCCTTTGGCGCTCGACTCGCGCTTCTGTGCTCGGTCCCCTTCGGCTCTGGCCAGCACCAGTTTTCCGTCAATTACCGGAAGTTTGCGGAGAGTTACAGAATTTTTTAAACAAATTCGTCAACCTTGACAGACAAAATTAACAAAAATCTCCGACAAAGGACAGACAAACACTCTCAACACCATGATTTGCCTCTCAAAATGCGGGAAATTGCGAAGGCTTAAAGATCCTAAATTTCCCGGGGAGCACCCCCCGGACCCCCTTAGATTGCAAGCGCCATATCCATTGGTAAAACTGGGCGGACGGAAAAAAGTCAAGCTGGGTAGAGTCTTGGCCGACGTCGACTCGAACTCCCCTTTATTTGTGGACGCATTAGGGGACCAGGGCAGGTGGGAAACATAGGGAACACATACCTTTAATGCGTTCTTCATTACATGTAAGGTATACGTAATTTTGTCAGTGATCACCTTTTCTCACAAAGCGAGATACCAAATCCAGTGCAGCTCGAAAAAAAAAGCCTGTCAATTTACCGTTAAGCGTTGCCGACCGTCCTGAATTTACCATTAAGCGTTATCGGCCCTGTTGAATTTACCGTTAACCGTTGCCAGGACCCCCCATGCAGACCCTCATGTATTTGTGAAGAGGGTAATGGAGACTTCAGGCAGCTAGAATAGGTCTGGATACCAGGCTAACCTTGCAGTACTCTGCAGCCTGCCTGCAGGCTTCCTTGATGTCCTGAGTGGCTGGGTGCCAGGCTGGAGGTCCCCGGTGTGACAGAAGACCCATGGAGATGGGGGAGGCATTGATAACACCTATTCCTCTCTCCTGTGTAGACAAACAGGACCTGGTGATTGTTTGTTAGAGCCTTTGTGTCTTCATGAAATTTTCAAATTGGCTTGCTGGTGTAAAGTCATAAACATGAATTTCCAGGCCCTTTTTTATAAGCGAAAAAAAGCCTCAGGGTCATTTTTGATCCAATCATCGGACCAAAAAATAGAATTGGCTTTGAATTACAGTTGATAAGTTTATATTGTGGAACAGTATAGAACAGTTTACTTAAGGTATGAAAGAAATTCTACAGCCTCTATTACCCACAATACCTAATGAGCTTACATGGAAGTACGGCAGCTCATCCTGCAGAGAGTTGTCATTCAGGGAGCCGTGACAGTAACTCAGGACGGTGTCAATCTTCACTGGACTCCGCTCAATTACTTTTCTACACGCAAGGAAAAGAAAACAGGTCGGCAGTAAAGTTGCAAACTACATGTAGCTTCTATTGGAAGCAAGGGATCAACTATTGTCAAATAATCAAATAAATAAACTATTGTCCTTTGTTGATAACCTCTGTATAAATCCTTATAGAACTCAAAGGGGGCAGACAAACCCCTCTGAACCCTCTGAGTCATTTAAAATGGATTTGATTTGGTTGCTTTATCCCATTTGGACACTATTTCTACTACACACACAATATCATACTTAAATGTAATTATATTCACACGAAAACTATTACTCAACCAACTAGATAGATTCTTAAAAAACACTACTTGAGTAACAGTTTTCTTGTGGATCCCATTATCTGGAGGTCTATCCTTTATGAACCCATATTGTACTTAGCACCTAATAGTATACAATTATGCAAGAGCTTCACAACCCACCTGAAGTTGCCCAGGGGGTAACCCGTGATGCCGATGAACTTGGCCTTGCCAGACTCCTTCACCTTCTGCAGGGCGGGGAGGGTCTCGTTCACCACAACGTCCAGGCTGGGAGCAAACTCCATGTCATGGACCTGAGGGGAAGTTAAAGGACTTCCATTGTTATTATCAAACCTGATTTAGCAACCAAGTCTCTTTTGTCCTCTCGGCAATTGAGACTCAGCAGCTAAATCAGGTTTGGTATCAACCAGGCTATCTATTGTGACCGGCTGCCTCTCAAGTTGGTGTCCAGTCTATCGTGATTAGCACGGGCTCCCTTAAGGCCTATAGTACTAGTACATGGCCCATCAGGAACCTGCCCAAACCACAATAGACGACAACAGGTTAACTACTACCTATCAATATGAATGGATTCTATGTGTCAGAAGTTACACAGTGACTCTCTCTCTCTGGTTTATTGTCTGTTGTTCCCCGTAAACTGAGGGTTAGACGTGTTTGCACTCAGATGCTGAGGCTTGACTACAAATTTGATATGTAAATGATATACAACTCTGTACCGTACCTGGATGATGTCCACATACGACAGTCCCAGCCTAGCAAGACTCTCGTCCACACTCTTCAGAGTCCTCTCAGCACTGAAGTCAAACATCTTGTGCACATCTGCCTCGTACCTGCACACTTTAGTGGCCAGGTAGTATGACTGTCGGGGATGTCCTTCAGGGCCTGTGGAAGG